CTATTGATTATAATAATTAAACAATTATTAATGGGTTTGGGTTTTAATCTACTATCTTGTTACTTATTTTTTTATCTGTTTCATCTGTCATTCATTCCCCTCTTCCTCTTTTCTGCCTTCTTTTTTAAATTAATTGAGTATTCTTTACTCTTTGTTAAACGTACTCAAAGAGTCAGGAGGCTTTGGTTAGAAATAAATGACAAAGATTTATTCAAGAGTCTTAGAGATGGCAAACAGGAAACACAACAAGGCAACACCTAGAGAGTTCTGAAGAGGAAAGAAAAGCTGAGTTCTTATAACGAAGTCTTAGCAGTCCTGCATTCCTCGCCCTTGGACTGGTACAAGACAGTTATCAGTTAGATGTCAGGCTGTCTGGGTGATGGATGCCAGTGACCTGGAGGATGGGCGCCAAGTGGACCTATGTCCTTTATAGAGTAGTCAAGGGTTATCTTCAGGTTTGATATCTGTCCAGGCATTGATACGCAACAAACTGCTGTATCTCGAGGTATTGGCGCAGGACTGGAAACTTCAAATGTTTGAGCTTCCAGGCTAATTAAGACAAGAAAAAGAATTGTTTCCTCCTGTCTCGAACTTCATAATGTTAATAATTTAGCAGGTTGGTTAAAATGACTCCATTTTATATTTTTAGTATCTTCACTCTTTCCTCACATTGTCTCTACTTTGTTGGTTTATTAATCATAAATATTTGGGTCTTCTGATTGTTTTATTTTTTTAATGGTTGCTTTAGGTTTATAGTGTACATCTTTAACTTATCAGTCATTGTCTTCAAATGATATTTAATCACTTCATGTATAAGTAATTTATATCAGTATAGTTCAGTTTCCCCTTCCCAGCCATTGTACTATTATTTTCATACATTTTACTTCTATAATGTAATAAGCCCCAAAACACATTGCTATTACTTTTGCTTTAAATGTGGAGAAAGCCACCACTGAGTTAGTGATGTCCATGCATCTGTCACTAACACATTGCTGTCGGCCTAATGAATGGTGGGCGTGTCCTTTGCACCCCTCAATGGAACATAATCTTCTGATGGGGGTAGGGGAGAATCTCCTGGACCCTTATAGTATGTCACTTCCAGCATGCTTGTTCCCGGACAGGGACCAGCCCGGAGTGGGTTTGCCTCAGGTGGGCCTGTAGTGTGTGGGTTCTTGACTTTGTGTCGGAAAGATTTCACAACATGAGTCCAGGTGATTTTGAGGGTGTGTTTATTAAAGCTGGGGATGGCGAGACAAGGCAGGGCTTAGGGTAGAAGATGTAACAGGAGAGCACCTAGGCAGTGCTCTGCTTTGGCTGCCTTCAAATCTGATAGGGAAGAAGTGAGCCAAGGTGGGGCTGCTCTTAGCTCACTGGAGAGTGAGAGAAAAAGAGAGTTTTAGAGACAGGATCGGGGGTAAGCCCAGGATGAGCTGCCACTGCCCACTACTCCCCTGGTTGCAAGCCTTGTGGAGACCCTTCGAGTCTAGGAGAAAGTAAAAAGTTCATGTCTGATAAGGGTCATGGGCGTGCTCTAGAGTGAGGCGCACCAGGTCTTTGTCCTGAGGGTTTTATTCTCCCTTCTGCAGGTAAGAATCTTAGGGGAGGGTTTCAGCAGAATATTCATCAGCTTTCCAGGTGCATTTGAATATGCTGATGCATCAAAACGAACACATGGGGTGGACGGTTGGGGTTATTCTTTGGTCAGCTTCACTGTTTCACTTTTATCTTGGGTCTGCCTGGCTCTAAGGGGGTTTTTGTTATTTGTTTCCCTGTCTTCATCTGTCCTTGGGTTTAGTTGGCACAGCAGGCGTTAATTGGGTCTCTGTCCTTTACCTCCCCAACCAGTGTGATTTAAACTATGTATTTTCTGGTCAGGGAGGAGAGGTATAAACCATTTGCTCTCAAGTGTTCTTAGTTGGAGAAAATAAGGTCTTGTGATTCACTGGCAAGCTGTAAGTTGTTCAAATTGTTTGAACTTGTTTAATTTTGTCTCAGTTTCCCTGTTCCACTTGCTCAGGACTTTTCTTAGCTTCTTACTATCTTATCACAAGGTGACACCCATCCATGGCTGACACGAAGATAGACTAGACTTCTTCCCACAGTGGTCTTGGGCAGCATTCTGTTGTAAAAGGGTGAGGACAGAAGCACACAGGCCTCTTGAGTCTTACTTGGTGTGTATGTATGTGACTCAGCTTCGCCTTTGCTGCTCTTGGCTCAAGGGTCTTCCATACTCCTCTGGATTTTCTGCCACCATGGAGGACAGTGCCACCCTAGGCCTGCATGGCTCCTGTCTTGGTGGGTCAGGGTAATGGAGACTGCTGGCTACCCCAGTTCCTAGTCCCCTTCTTTCTGTACTAACAGAAACCCTGACTACTAGCTGGAGAAATGTCCACTAAGCTAATGACCACATTTCCCAACTTCCCTTGCAGATGTGGCCTAAGTTCTGGCCAAGGGGATGTGAGCAGAAGTGAAATGCATCATTTTAACTTTCAACTGTCAGATTGTTCTCTTAGTGGGAAAAATGGTGCCCACCCATTTCCTTCTCATTGGATGGACTGTGGGCATTTTGCCTGGAACAGCCGCCTGGAACCACTAGGTGGAAATTATCAGTGGAGCATGACAGACTCTTAAGACAAAGGAGCCTGAGTTCTTAAACTACCTCCTGGGGCTCTGACACAAGAAAGAGGCAAATGACTGCCTTGTTTAGGACCCTGGTGTGTTGGGGTTTCCTGCGGTGGCATCTGAGCATATACGCTAACCAAACCTGCCTATTCTGGGGTTCAGCCAGCAGGTCCCCTTGCATCTCTCCCTATGCTGCAGCTTCCCACTTCAGTTCTGCTAGAAATGTAGTGTTGTGGCCTCTGTCTTCTATTTCTTTGTTTTATTGCTAAAAATTCAGAACGCAAGCTGGGGTGAAGGAGTTTTAGTAGATACGACACATGTGCCTGGGGTTGATTAAAACTCCACGTGGATTTTTCATGCCACACCTTAGGGAGTCATCCCCGGGGGTAGAAGCCCCGGCAGAGATCATGCTGTTGTTGATTTTGAATCTCTTTGGACCTTGTGCTCAGCGCAGAGCCTGACACAAAGTTAGCACTCAGGAAATGCTGGCCGACGAGGCTCATGCGGGAGAGAATTAAGGTCTTGGGCAGGCCTCGCATGGATGGCAGGCAATGAAACCTTTGGATTTCTTTCTATCAGAAACCAGAGCAGAAGTCTGTCTATTTCACCCTAGCCCTCCCCTCTGGGACTGGCGCAGGGTGTCCAAGGAAGGATGGAACACCCCGTTTCCAGGCCAAGCCCAAGGGCAAGGCCCCAAGAACACGTGCAGACCTGCTGTGCTTCAGAGACTGTGAGGCTCTGCTGGATCCAGACACCAGAGCTAGTGGGAGATCCTTGACGCCAGGAGCAAGTGATAGACTCAGCCTCTTGGACTGGCTGCTCCCCCAGGACATCCTAGAGGTGGGAAGCTGGGACTGGAGCAGGTTGAGATGCGGGAAGAAGCGAAGGGGCCACAGGGCATCCTGCTCACCCACCGTTTGGGGAGGCAAGGGAGTGTGAGCTTCCCAGTGTGAGGACCCCATGAGAGGGAACTAGGCCCATGCATTGTGGAAGCACCACAACTTCCAGTGCAGTGAGAGGTAACGGGTGAACTCTGGGGGCTGACACAGAACAATATGTTGCCCACATCAGGGAACATGCGGTGCAGAAAGCCTGCATTCACACACAGGCCGCACAGAGGGCATCGGCGGCCATGCTACATGAGCACTGGTGAAATAGAGCTTGGTCGTTCTCTCCTAATTCCCTCTCTCCCTGCTCCAACTGTGAAGGGTCAGGCAGCACGTGAGAGGGGAAGGAAGCCAAGGGCCAGACAGTGCCTCCTTCTACCTGCCTGAATCAGGTCCCAGCTGAGCGTGGGCGGAAGCTTTGAGCGGGATGTAAGGTGGGACTGGTCCCTTGCTTTCAGAAAGTGAGGTATGATTGCCAAAAAGGGATTTGTCAGCCCAAGTGACAAGAAGCCTATGGGATCTTCTTGGGGTTATTTCAAGGGGCAAAGGTTGAGGAACCATCAGAGCGCGTGTGAAGGCAGAGAAGGTTCTGGCTGAGTTGGCTGTGCTGAGGCCACATTCTCTCCCAGCTGCAGGAGGCAGAGTGTGGCATGAGGAGATAAGAGCCCATGTGAGCACCTGCTCTGCTGAAGACTCTGAAGTCTCTTCTCACCGTGACACTTGTAAAGGGCCCTAAAGGAGAGTGCTCAGCCACACTGAGGGTTCTGGAAGCCTGTGTGACAAGGAGCTCCCTCCCAAGGCAGCCTAATGTATTTTTGGACATCATATTAGAATGTTTCCTAAACTGACTTCAAACATCTCCCCAGTGTTGCATCTGGAGCCGCACAGAACAGACCCACTCCCTTTGGACACTGGAACGTGGAGAACAAGTCTTCCCGAGGCCACCCCTGCTCAGGAGAGACATGCCCCGCCCCTCTCTCCCCCTCCACCACCTTTGGCGAAGCCGCAGTCTCAGAGTCGGTGCTGTGTGATCGTGCTCTTTTTAACTTTATTCGGAGTGTAAGGATGTGAGTGCCATGACAGATGGCTAACCCTCCCCTCCACAGGGGCCCGCGGGAGGAGCAGGAATGTCCCAACTGCCGGCTATGGATCAGCAAACAGTCCAGACTGTCTTCTTCCCCGTAGCCACTCAGACAGTTGCTGGGTCAGGTGCCACTCATCCTGCTGCACTGATGGACGAAAGGGCTGGGCAGGGCCATGGGGCTCACAAAGCAGGCAGCCACAGGGAGAAACAGCCGGGGAATGTGCAAAAGTGATCAAGTCTCAGGCCAGGGTGGAGCCAGCCCAGCGGGGGAGTGAGGGACAGGGTGTGCTGGAGGCTGGATCTCCCTGTCCAGGCAGCCTCGGGGGACGGAGTGGGTTTCCCAGGCTGGACGGGTGAGCCCTGCTTGCTTCGTGGTACCCAAGTTTTTATGGGGCCACCTGGACCCTTCACTCTGCCACATCGACGGACAGCATGGCCTTGATTGCAGGGAACTTGTTGCAGGAGAAGTCAGCAACAAGCTGCTTGGTGCCACTCCGGGTGGGCCGGATCTCAAAACGGACCCGGGACCGCTCCTTGGGACGCAGGGTTGGCACGCTGTGGGGGAAGTGCGCGAATCAGTGTTAATGATGAAATTCACAGACCTCAGGGTGGACAGGCCTCTGTGGCCTCAAGTCCTGCTGTGGTTGGGACTGGATAAGGTCACTGCTTCTTTAGCTCCTTCTAGGTGCCGCCTTGGGTCACCAGGCCACTCCAGTCCTGGCACCCATCAGCAAGAGAACTCCTGATCTCTCAAATACGCGAAACCCCAAGGACCAGCTCCAAGCTCTGGTAACTCAGACTTCCCATGAGTTCTAATCAAATGTGAATGTGTGTGCTTATGGACAGATTCTCGAACTCTAAGATTTTAGAGATGGAGAATCTCTGCTTGCCCTGTTCCCAGAGGTCCCCCGCAACCCCCTCCCGCCACCCCACGTGGGCCCCTCAGGCCTGGGACTCACTCGATCTTGAGGCTTCCCAGCAGCAGGCCGCTCCCCTCCACCATCAGCACACAGTTCTTCACCGGCTCATCCAGCGGGTTGGAGAAGAGCATCTGCACATTCACGGGCTTCCGCATGTGGGCCTGGTCCAGCAACTACAGGGAGAGAGGTCGGTGGAGTCAGGGCACAGCTGTTCCTCTCGCCTGCCACTCAGTGAGAGCTGACGGGGTGGGGCGGGCGACTTGGTGATGAGGAAGACGTCACTGGGGACGAAGGCAGGGAGGACTGCCTGTTTAGTCTTCCAAAGTGCCAGTGGCATATCCTTGCAGGGAGTTCCTAGGACATGGCTATGACTCCTATGCTACATACAGGACACCCAGGCTTAGGCGGACAGGGCTTTAACTCCCCTGCCGGGTTCACGGGTTCCCTTTCCACTCCATCTTGAGATGGGCAGCCACTTCCTCCCAGGACAGCCTGGTTCCACTTTGAGCCGCTATGAGGGCTGGGAAAGCTTTCACTCTGAACTTAATAACAGTACTTTTCTTGAGCCTCCTCTCACTGGTTCTGTTTCTCCCCTTCCAGCCTGGAAGCCCCCTCCTTGGGAGGCTTCAGCTTGCTTAGGCCCACTCCTTTGCACAGGACACGATGTTGGGCCTCCACCTCAATCCGGGCCATTCTGCTGTGATCAAGCCCAGTCTGGTGATGTCCTCCTACACTTCTGGAGCCCCGAATTTCCCTACATGCCACGCTGTGGTCTGGGCAGGGCTCCAACATCATACTGTCTCGAGTCAGGGGCCAGAGAAGCCTAGGTTTCCAGTCAGAAGAGCAACCAGGATGATTTGTGCATTCCTGAAGGTGAAAACTTGTGGTTCTGCCAAGAAGCAGACACAATTGGGCCACAACTTTGACATCTGGTAAGTAGACTAGTCATTCTTTCCTACCTTCCTCTCTGGGCTAGGAGGGAGCAGGGGAGATCATGGGTGGAAGGAAAGCATTTTAAAAATAGAAAATGAAATCATATGGCTGGTGGATTTCTTCTCTTGAGAATCACAACAGGGGGCTGCTTTTGTGTTTGGTTTTTCTTTTTCTTGCCACTAATCCTTACAGCAACCATTTTATAGAAATAAAGCTCCAGTTCAGATAGGTTGAATAGCCAGGGCCTCCCTGGTTCCAGAGACTTTGCTCGCTAGGCCCTGCAATGCCCACCAATAATTTGTACATAACCAAAACATTTTGGAGACCATGATTTCTACCATAATTTCCTCCCATGCTACTCATTTAAGAGTATGACATAATTGGAGGGGTGAAGCGTAATTCTATGCCATTGGGTTACAACAAGGCTATATACATGGTGCCACATTTTTCACATTGATATTCAATTTGGGATTTCCATATATTTGTTTGCTTCTTTATTGTTGTTCACCACTCTGTCCTATTGAACCAAATGCATACATGCACCCAAGGAGAGGATAAGGGCCACCAGAAACCTATGTCTGATGTCAGTGGTTCACGCGTTAAGGAAGGACATCACCCTTTGGAACAATATTCAGATTTCGTGGACTGATTTTATAGTGTAAGGTCCTCAGTGCTAACTGCCAATCAGTGTCAGATAAGACAATGGAGTTTTACCCAAATTATTATCTTTTCATACACATCACTCTCATGAGGTTAAAAATCTGTGCCCTGCTCTGCATGCTTTACGCATTGACTCGTTCAATTGGGATAAGATGGTGTTGATTCTCTGAAGGCCAAAGTAGAGGAGAGAATGTGTTGGGAGGAAATTCACACAAAGATGCCCCAAAGAAGAAAGAGCAGATGTCTTTTAACGAGATTCAGTAAGAAAGTTCTTCGTGGCACATTTCTAGCCTATGTGTATTCTGATTTCCTTTCTGAAGATTTTATAGTTTCTTTAAATACAAAGCAGGCTTTATATGGAAATCCCAAAGATGGCGCGCAAAAGTGTTGAATAAAAGATAACACTATAAGAAGGGCTGAGGATATTGAAAAAAGGGAATATATTGGGGAAAACCCTAACTTCATTTGAACACTGATTGTTTTAATGCAGAATGTTTCCATAACTGCACTGGTTGCTACCCAGCCTCGTTTCCCAGCATCAGGTGTAGGAATCGGCACTCAGCTGTCCATCATGTCTACAGGGACTCTGGGAAGCAAGGGAGGCCTTAACACGCAGGGACAGGCATGGGCTGACAATGCAAACTCTGTGGGTGGTGAAGAATGAAAGCCGGGAGCCAAGTGTCTCTGTTGCAGTGGACAGGGTGTTTCTATTTTACGAATACTGATTACCTCCTCACAGATCTTGTACTGGGGAGACAGCACGGGGCCCAGAACAGTGGGGGACTGCCCCCAAGCAATTGCACAAATAAAGGGATAACTTCAACTAGGACAAACGCTGTGAAGTAAGAGTACACAGGCTCTGAGAGTGTTGAATGGGGGATCAGGCCTAATTTGGGGAGGGGATGGAATGTCAGGAAAGTCTTCCTGAGGAAAGGATACCCTACAAAGGAAATATTTTATTACCCTCATGACAGAGTTGGAACAACTGAGATGTAGAGATTAAGGGACTCACTCAGGATCACTGCTGATAAATGGTGGGGTCTGGATAAAAGGCTACAGGCGCGACACCTGAATTACTGCCCTGCTCTGCTTTTCCCCAAAATGGATGTCCAGTCACTGGTTCCCTAACCCCTGAGGTGGGGGACCACCCCCCTCATCCTGAAGCACAGATCAGACTAACAAGGACACCGAAAGGGCTCAATTGCAGGCTAGGTGCATGGGAGTGGGAGCCTTGGGTCCCCTGACTCTCTCTGAGGCCAGGAACCCCTGCAGCTAGGGTGCGGCTTAGGGAGGGGTGGGACCAGGGCTCCCACAATTATCCAGCTCCTTCAGAAACCTGGGGCTTGGGAGGCTGATGACATTGTGATAGGAGAGAAAAAGACTGTCTAGACAGGTGAGGCAGATGGAAGACACAGCAGACATGTGATCCATGAGGCTCTCTGTGGGACCTCATGGGAAGACCCATGTCCTCTGCCCGTCATTGCCTGCCAGCCTCGGCCCTCAGGGTTGTGTTCCCTGGCTATGGTGGCCTCCAGCCTGGGCTGGGGGCAGGTAGGACCCAGGGGCTTGAGGAATAAAGACAGGCTCGGAGTCAGCACAAGTATTTCCGGCCCTGGTCCTGAGGAAGGGACAGAGTGGTCTTAGGTACTTCCTGAAGACCTGTGAGCCTCTACAGTTTGGGCTCCTGGGAGCGAGCCTGGAAGCAGAGCCTGCAACCAGAAGCAGAAACTGATGCAGCCACTGTGAGGATGCTGCTGCTGGCTGCTGATGGGCCTGGCTGCCTGGAAAAGGGCTCTGGGCTAGGAGTCCAATGGCCCGAGGTCTAGACCTGCCTCTGGTAGTGACTAGCTCTTTCCTTTTCCTCTCTGGGCTTTGGTTTAGTCCTGTGCAAAATGACCAAATATAAGAGCATGAGGTTTCTAAGGCCCACTGTTCTGCAGTTCTGGGGTCTAGAGAGTAGAGGGATGCATGTGAGTTGTGTCCATTTCTGATCTGCTCCACAAGTGTGTCTGGGCACTGGGCAGTGGGCACCCTTCAGGCAGGACCCAAACCCCCTGTGCCCCTCTGTGATCCCTGAGCCTGGGCTGGCCCAGAACACAGCAGGTGCTCCGAGCTGAGTGGGTGTGTGAGTGAACGGAAGAGTCCCTGCAGCTATTCCTCAGCTGGTACCCCCAGTGGGTCTAGAATTGGAACCAAAGAAGCCACAGGGCAATGTGCCTGTTTACCTCACCAGCCAGGGAGCAAGGATATTAGTCTGAGCAAGATCTCTTGGTTGATCCATCTGGCAGAGGCTGGACCCAAGCTGGGCCCAGTCCTCTGCCCCTCCCAGCAGGGAAGGACCTTCCCTGTGCTCTGCAAGGGGCTGTGGCTCATGGGGGTTGACCGGCTGCGTAGGCACCCCTCACTACCCCTTTACCTCCAAGGTCAGGGTCGGGTTGTCCAGGATGACGTCCCTCTCCACCAACACCTCAGCCTCATCAGGCGCCTGGCACACGGCTGTGGTCCGGATCATGTTGTCCGCCTTGAGGTACTTCTCATACTGAGCATATGTGATCTTCACAGGATACTGTATTTCTGGAAGGAGAAGCCAGGGCAGCAGAGTGAGAGGGAGTGGGGTTGGCTTCTGAAACCTTCAGAGCTGATGCCAAGCCGAGTCAGTGTGAGCTGGCCAGGAATATCTGTAGCCCAGGGCTTGACGGAGCCCTCCCTGGGCCAGGCCCTGGAGGAAACACCCCGCCCTGTCTCGTGCAGACTCCAGGTAGGGACCGGGGAGGGACCAGGGAGGGACCAGGGCTCTGGCTGGCTGGGCAGATTCTTAGGAGGATGGGCTCAGAGGGGCTGAAGCCTCCTCTAGATCCAGAAAATGTCAGAAGGCAAGTTCCCTTCTAAGGGGCAGGGGAGGAATATGAATGTTAACTCATTGTCTCGCGATGATAACAATGAGGATAACAATGCAATAATAACTGGGAAGGGAAGCCAGGGATTGGCAAAACGACTGCTTTGGAACCTCCCAGGTCACCTAATAGTGTGGGATTCTATTGCGACAGCATCTGAACCACCTCACCACCTCGGGTCTCTCCTCTTTCCAAGTCATCCACACACATCAGTCAGACAACGCTCTAAAAGAGCTCCCCTGCCCCCCGCCACCCCTTCATGTCACTCCTCTTCCATGTCACTTCAAAGATCTTCCACGACTCCTTGCCAAATAAAGTTCAGAGCTCACAATCTGGCCCTGCCTCACTGAGCCTACCTCACTTCTCTCTTGAAAGAACCTCTGCCTTTCTCATGGTTCCTTTGACAAAACAGGCACATGGTCACCTTCCTGCCAAAGCAGGGTTCCCTCAGATGGAAATGTCTCCTTCAGCTTTTCTCCATTTACCTGCCTCCTCCCCACACTTCAGGACTCTCCCTGGCACCACAGGGCACAGGCACCTCTCCCTTCTTGGCGATCCAGGGCACCGCCACCTCTCCCCCACATGATCATGCTGGGTGGCCTGGGTGTGCCCTGGCACCCACCAAGTCATACGCCCTCTGAGGTGAGACTGTGAGGAAGAAGCTGCCCTGCCTTTAACTCTAAGGGAATTTACCCAGTCCGCCCCCAGCGTGGAGGCAACAGGCCCTTGCACCAACTGCTCCAGCCCTCTCAGAACTGAACGCCGAGGCTCCCTTCTGAAAAGGGAGGGCGACTAACAGCATCATCCAGAAAGCAGGTGACAGCATTGGGCCTCCAAAACCACTTCATCTGCCTCTTCCCTGCCTTCCCATTTCACTCTGCTGCCTCTTGCAGAAGTATGTGTTTGGGGGGACCATTTCTGTCTCGTGAATAATTTTTGGCCTACAAAAATAGCTTTTCCTTTGAGCTCTGAAGGTAAACGACAGCCCGGCAGTTGCTTCTGGTACAGGAAGATTTCTGCTAAAATTCTGTGAGAAGTCAGGTTGCTAGGGGAATGCTGCCTCCGACAGGCGTAACATATCTCAGATTCTCTGCAGACAGAATTCTTTCAAGATGGGCTGTATAATTAATCAGTTTTTATTAATTCTGTCTGTGGATCAAATCACCACCCCACCCTTGTTAATCTGCTTGGTAAGTTCCAACTCTTCATAACAGCTTGAGGGATTTTGCCAATGTGGGCACACCTGCATTCTAATCCTTCCATGGCACCAGGCTTTCTCTGCTCCATCTGCTCCCTTTTTGTCTGTGCTACCCAGGAGCAAGGAGTCACTGCAATATGCCCTGCGGTATATTGCAACCCTTCTCAGGTCAAACCGGAAAAGTGATTCATTGTAGGGTAGGGTGGGAGTGGCATGAGGGGGTGTATGTGGCAGCTATACATCCTAGAAAATGAGGTTAGCATTGGATCTAGCAGCAGGAAACCTAGGACCAAGACCCTGGCATTGCCACTTACTATGACACTTTCTTAAGCAAGCCACAATCTCTCCAAGTGTCAGTTTTGGCCTCCATAAAATAGGGATACTATAATCTATTATTTCTAGAAGGTCAATGAGGTAGTACATAAAGAAGTGCTCTGCATACTGTGGGAAGTATATACCCATCAGGCAGCGATTTGCAACCTCTTTTCATCTCATGGCATACATAATCTAATTACTAAAATGTTGCAGTGCACCAAAACATACATAATGTTTTGCCGATCTGACCCCCAAAATAGGTATAATTTTGATTTATTCACATGAGACAGCTATCGTTGTGTTGGTTGTTTTCATTTTAAAGAATTTGACAATGAGGAAAAAGTGATCGGTGTCCTTGACTAAGTAATAAGGCATTACACGATTTAGAAATTCTTGCGGTACACCAGTGCGCCACACTGGTTGAAAATTGCTGCTGTAAGGGATACTGTGGTATGTCTATCGATTTCCCAAGCCTCCCTCCTTCCTCTCCCAGGGTGTAAAAGAATTTGGGTTGGCAACACCCTAACTTGCACTGTTCACCGTGACAGTAATTTCCAAAACCTCAAAATCCAGGGCTTAACCACAGAGGCCGTGTGCTGCTCCTCCCTTAGACAACTGAGTCAGTTTCAATGTGAACTCTCCAACTCCAACAGAACATTAGGGACCATGGATGCGCGGGGCCTCAGCAACCTATAGGATGAGTTACCTTCTTCAGGGTCCAGAGATACTGTGATGGAGTCCTTCCACACCTCATGGACAAGTGTGCCGTTGTAGACAATGGTCCAGGCTGTCATGTTCACTGTCACTGTCTTCATATCACTTGTCAGATTTTTGAGCATCAGGGCCAGGTTGACTTCTTTGCCCACCGCCAATATGCCAGCAACCTTGAACCTTCCAGAAATGCTGGGCTCCCGTTCCTCTCTTTCGGCCTCGGTTGCAGACGTTGGGCCAAATGTTCTGTTGGGTTTAAGTTTCTCCAGCGCCTTTTCAAATATATTTCTTTCCTGGCTGGAACCTGTGGTGGGGGGACGAAGAGAGAGGCATCTCAGGGATGCAGTGGCAACCTGGACAAAGGACAGAGCCTGTCTGGAAACATGGCCTGGGACTAACACTGGTTCCGCTGCTGCACAAAAATTCTGATCCAAGCAAGTGTTCGGCCTCTCCTCATCTCCATTTCATCCTCCTTAATATGAGGCTCGCAGACCAGCTGGTCTATGGTGCTTTCCCAATCAGACTAAATTTCTAGGGAGCTGTAGGAAAAGCTCTATCAGCAGCTGTGTAAAATTACTGTATGACCTGATATTTTGCTTAGGTCAATTAAGTTACATTTCTTTTTTTTTTAAATAGAAATTCTCTTGTAAGACTTAAAGAACAAACAGATAATTTAAAAATAAATAAAAGCTGAGCTGAAAAGGTTAGAATGGGTTCATAAATTTTAAAAAAGCTATGATTTAGAATGGACTTCATTAAATTTCTTTTCAAGCCACTAAACCATGTTATTCCGCTTTGTTTCTAAAGGTGCTTTAAGAGTTGAAGAGTGGCACTTTTGCCCATGCCAGCGGACGTGAACTTCCCACAGCTGATATGGATCCAAGTCATAACTAGTTCAAACGGCCGAGAGAGTTCAGGTTTCAAAAACACAAAGGACAGGTTTTCTGACCCTGGGTCAGATTGTGGGCCCTGCTCAATGTAATGGTATGGAGAGCGCCAGGAGAATGGCTATGACGTACATTAAAGAACATGGCTCTTGGACACCAAGAGCTGAGCAACCAACTCCAAGCGTCTGAGCCAGTGTTGACCACTTAGTTCACATCAGGCTCTCTGCCTTGACCGGGAGATAGATCCACTAGCAGTGAGAAGATGTTGACCTTTCAGGAACACAGAATATGAACAGAGGTACACAAAGAATTACCATATTTAGCCCTGGCTGGTGTGGCTCAGTGGATTGAGCACCAGCTTGCAAACCAAAGGATCACTGGTTTGGTTCCCAGTCAGGGCACACGCCTGGGTTGCGGGCCATGTCCCTGGTAGGGCGCACAAGAGGCAACCACACATTAATGTTTCTCTCCCTCATTTTCTCCCTCCCTCTCTCTCTAAAAATAAATATATAAAATCTTTTTTTTTTTAAAAAAGGAATTATCATGTTTATACCTGTAGACCATATTTTTGGTCCCCACCTTCCCCAACAAACCTGTGAAATTTTTAAGACACCAGATGACTTATTGTAAGCACTTTATAGCTTAGCAAGTTCTTACCCATAAGTTATGTGTAACAACAAGCTGTGACTTGAGAGGCCAGCTCATTAAAGCCCATCATGTTAAAATTAAGGCCCTAAGTGGGAAAGCGACTGGCCCAAGCAAATAGTCTAATTTGGGGATTAGAGGCAGAGAGGGGGCCAGTCCTTAGGACCCACAGTCTAAGATTCCTCTCACACACCCTACCTAAAAGGAGGCAGGCAGCCAGATTACCCAAGCCGATAGTTCCTGGTGGGCTGGGTTCATTTTGGTGCCCTCCCACTCTTTAGCCAGGCGGTAAGTCCACACCCAGGGCTGATGTCTACACAGGGAGCTGAGCCTTTTGTGCCCAGGACCTCGAAGCAGGCGTGTTTGTACAATGAGGCTCAGAGCCTAGATACCTATATAGGTCACCTGCTGGGCTTACTCAAGACTAAGCTTCCTGCTAGTGTTTTCTCTCTTGGTATTGCTATTGCACAAACGCTTAGCAAGTCATTTTATGAGCTTTTCCTCCTCGGGGCCCTCAAGGACAAACTGGCATCATTAGGTAAGGAGAACTGGGCAAAAACAGGCAGGATGATGAGCCCGGCTGTCACAAAGGGGCTGGGGCGTTGCCAGGAGTCCTGCAGGTATTCCCCTAACCTAGCCACAACCTGGCCCCATTTCATCGCTTGGGATGTTTGACTGGGATGGCCAGAGCACACAAGATGTGACAGTAAGATAAGGCACCCCACAGAATTATATATCCATGCAAGTCGTGCACTTCAAAAGTCATTATTCCAATGAGGCTGCAGATGTTTAAGTTATAAAAATCACCACTATTAATATTAAGTCCTCACTCTGTGCCAGGTGCTCCACTTGGCACTTTATGGACACCGGCTCATTTATACTGAAGGCAGGCCCTGCTACTCTCATTTCACAAAAGAGGAAGGGAGGGATCAGAGGCCCTGAGAATCCTGCACAGCTCTGAGTGATAGGGCTGGGGTTCACTTCCTGCCCTGGATGATTTGTTCTCTGGCTTCTACACTTGTTTCAACATCATGACATTGTTGAAAATGCTCGTCCTACATCTGCCTTCCCCTGGCCTGTGAGCTCTGCAAGGGCAGGGGCCCCATCTGGTTGGTCTTTGTTGCCTCCCTAGAGCTGAGCACAGAGCAGGCCCTGGGGAGTCCCAGTCCATGTTTATGGACTGAGAGAAGGGCCATCTGACACCTATGGGGAAAATGGTTAGCACATACAGATGGGACCAAATTGAGGCCACCAATCTCGTTGCCCTAGACTCGTGCCTCACAATGCCCAGAGGGAATCATCCACTTAAACTTGAAGTCAAACCCTGTCTCCTGTGCTCAGTTTTCCTCTTATGCAAACCGAAGCCAGCACCAACAGCCAGTAGTTGCACGGAGTTTTAAGGTTTACTGTAGGATGTACTGTGGGCACTGTTACAAGAGCACCTTTCTTGCCCCTCAGAGCCAACTATGAGGATCCACTGAAGCAACTACTTCAAAGCATTTTAGGGAGACAACAATGTTGGCTCCATTAAGGAGTGACCATGGCCTGCTAGAGCAAGCATTAATTTACTACGGGCTAGTTCTAAAAATGAACATCGCCTTCAAATGTAGAACTTTTGCACTAGTAAGAATCCTCAGAGAGACAGGCTGTTGGCTCCGATAGCAATTTCCAAAACAGAGAAATGTCATTTGAGTTAAAGGTGGCCTCCTTGCAACTAGTCCTCCCAGTGACTTTGGGGGAACAGCATGCATGTGGATGCTAAGATTTCAGGGACTAGGGTAATCTCTGCATGATGTGGTCCCACCTCCTCCGACTTCTTAGGAAGCATCTGAGGTGAACATAGCACCACCCCATGGCTTTGGGATCTTTGTCCATGTTTTTGTTCAGATCATATTTCCTGCCTGTGTGTCTTGGAGGCTAGGGGAGTGGGCTGATGGAACAACCTCTCTTAAAGCCCCTGGGGACCCCCCATGCGGACCATGGTTCTCTCCGTGCTGTTCAGTCACCGTGCTGTCACCCTGTTTGTGCAATTGGCAAAGAGACACGGCTGGAGATGAGCTGGAATGAGAGCTGCCTGTGCCCCGTGGCAAACTTCTGCTGGCGCCAGTCTGCCCACGACAGTTCTGTCCCCACGGGAAACATTCTGGGGAACTGGGTGTTCAGTGCGGAGGAGCAGCCCTACCATTCAGGCCGAACTGGCTGAGAAAGCGGGAGGAGCATTTGGCGTTTTCTCTTCCCCACCCTATAAGGTGTCTTCCCGTCGCCGAACCCTGAGTGGCACAGCCCCACCAGCGCCCCTCCTACCTTCTGGGTACTTGTACTTCTCCGTGACGTCCATGCGTGAGTAGCTGCCTACCGCCTTCGTGCTGATGTACCTGCCAATGGTATTAGTGTCCGAGGAATTCTGCTTCGAGGTGTTGCGGCTGGAATCGTAGATCCAGGTGATGCGGTCGGCATTAACCTCCGCAAAGACGAAGGGCATGTCGAAGTCCAGGTGTACATCACCCTCTCGGATGCCGGTAACTGAAGCGGGGCCGCACTGGAACACCCCTAGAGGCCAGGGTGCAGAGGTTGGGTGTGAGCCAAAGCCAGGTCCATCTGCAACAGCCCACCCCAGGGCCCGCTCCTCTGGGGACCATCCATAACCACCCAACACCCCTGCCTCTGCCCTGCCAGACTCCTTCATCCCCAACAGCCTTCCCCCCTCATTTGGCACTGGGCACAGACCCTCCGAGACCATCATTATCTTCTGCAGTGCCACCCTGGTCAGACTCCACCTTTCAGGAAGCCTGGCTCAATCTCCCATTCTGTTGGGTGCGTAATTCGTTTTGACCCACTGCCCTTGGTCTTGCTCTCTTGCGCCCAGGGTTGCCTCTTTTCCCCATCTGCAAGTCATTCTTCCCAAATCATCACACCTCTATCCCTGGAAGACTTTCCTGAACATTCAGCCAACAGGGGTCTCTTGCTGCTTTGAGCTCCCAAGCCCTGACTATCACCTCCCTTCTCTAGCACTCAGCATAGATAACTCTGACAGATAGATAGATAATAGATAGATGGATGGGTAGATAGGCAGATAGCTACATAGATAGATGGATAAGTAGGTAGCTAGATAATACGTAGATGAACAAATGGATGAATATAAATTAGATATAGATAGAGATAGAGATAGAGATAGAGATAGAGATATAGTTTCATCCATGATATGCCCAGCTGGGAAAAAAGCAAGGTGCAGCATAATAGAAAGAAGAGTATTATCCCACTTGTGTTTACAAAACAAATAAAAAAGATACACACACAACTTTATGTGCTTTGAACAGTCACTTTCAACGTTTTTTTCCCTTAAATCATGACCTCTAGAAATAGATTTTACATTTTGGCATATATATGAGCCTGAAACAAAAGTTTCACAAGACAATATGTATTCTCACTATGTCCATTGCACCCTGTGACTTTCTTTTCCTTTCCTTCCTCCGACCCCTTTCCATGCCATCCTATTTCATTTCTAACAACGATGGTTACAGCCCACTCACTGGACTTTATAACCACTGATGGGTTGCAGTGAAAAGTTTGAAAAACAGTGGTCCAGATACTATCTGGAGGGTTACTGTTCCATCCCCAAATCTAGTCACATTTGTTGCTTCTGGTAGAGGGGCTGCCGCTGGGGACTTATTTTTCATTAATAGACCTTTTGAGAATGGCTTGAAATTTTTTTTGACCATGTGCACATATTACTTCTATAATTAATTATTTTTTAAGTTTGAAAGAAGCAACTGAAAATGAAGGTAACGTAATCTTGTGCTAGGAAGGACAGACAGCTAGAGGTGAAGCAGGAAAACTGCTGTTGGCAGAGGAACAGCATCTTTCCTTTGTCGCCCAGCGTGTACCGTCGCCTCTGCAGCCGTGATGGCAGCGTGTGCGCACAGGGAAGGCACTCAGTTAAATAGCAGGAGGGGACATCTACTTTGAAAATATTTTTTTGAATCCTATTGTGCCTTCCAGAGATGGAGAGGACTTGGAGGACTTCCCTATGCCACTGTTCACCACCATAAAGAACTGAGAGGCTGTGACTTAGAGCCAAACCCAGAGAAGGGGGTCCTCAGTGGGCCAGCAGGGGTTTACCTTGGCTCCTCTCTTGGGGGGTGGAGTCCAGAACTTGCCATCCATTGTACGAGGGGCCCAGGTCATTCCGCACAAACCAGGCTTCATTCCAGACGTGGAAATTCCTGCAGACAGAACCAGAGGTTGCAGAGCTTGCCCAAGGCCACACAGCAGGTAAACGGCAAAAACCACATCTCTAATCTGAATGTGCAGGGATCTGATACTCATTAAGTGAGTTTACCCTGTGCCAGCTCCTGTGGAGCATTGTCTCACTTAAATTCTCATAGCACTGGGATGGGTACTGTGTTTATATCCATCTCATAAAGTGGAAACTGAGGCTCAGAGAAGTTAAGCAGCTCACAGTGACAGAATCAGTGTGATCAGGTATGCCTAAATCCAAAACCTAGGCTCTTGACTACCATGTTCTACTGCCTTTCTGAGGAGCAGAACAGATCTAGGTCCAGCCAGTGAACCAGCAGGTAAACCTACACAGCTTACTCTTGTGTATCTTCTTAGGGCACACTATTATATTCCATGCTGGCTGAAGATGAATGGGGCTGCTGTAAGAGTGACACCTCTGGCTAGGAGCCACAAAGCCTTTGGGTTGCGTTCTGGATTGAGGAATGACCAGTCCTAAAATGTTCTTCATCAGTGGCATCCCAATTGGTATGTCTCAGTCACTGATCCCCTCCCTCACCAGATGCAGCCAAATTAGCCAAAGTCTTATTCACTCTGGATTCTGCCCTCTTTCCTCCTCTCCAATCCCCCAGCAATGACATTAACGTTGGCTTTGGCAGTCTGAGGTTCAACTGGAAGAAAATATGTCTGACGTAAATCCAAGTTCTATCGAACTTGAAAAAATACGAACTTGAAAAAATACTTTTTAAAAATACTCACGAGGTGGAGAAGATAGCTTTAAGCAAAGAACCAACTTCAGACACCACAAAGGAAAAGACTGATTCATTTGACTACATAAAAATATTAAACTTACATGTAACAAACATACAAACAAACAAACAAATTATGGTTCTATTTCTAATACAGAGGAGTAAGTTCATAGCAGATAGTCTCCTCTGCAGATAACAATGAACTGAAAAAATACAAAGACAACACTCTGAGAATGAACAAAGTGGGAGGACTTTGGAAGAGAGTCAAAACCTGGAGGAAGGGGAGAGCATGGGGTGAGTTACACTTTTGGTGACTTTGCACTAAAGATAGGCCACAGTTGGGGTAAATGCAGGGCAGTAAAAACTCCGACAGACAGCCTACGTCTTTCTGACCTGAAGAAACAGCCTGGGTCACCCAAGGTCACTAAAGAGTGAGGGGGAAGTCCTAGAAAGGCAAGAATCAGAGAAAGGGAAATCCCAATTAGTATATAAACTCTGCCCAAGCTTCTGGATGACCTCTTAACCATGCATCTGTGTGAGGTCAACTACACGCAGTCCAGCTGAAGACAAAAGTACACTGAGACAGGAGTTGCTGCTCACCACTGGTGAGACAGTTTGCAGTTAGAGTTTACCTCAGGTAGATTACAAAGATAAAATATCAGAATCCATTCATACCCAATGTCCAGGATACAATCTTAAATTACTTAACATACAAAGAACCAGTAACTTATCCTCACATGACTTATCCTCAAGGGAAAAGACAATCAACAGTGACTAATTCATATATAATCCGGATTTTGGAATTATTGGACAAGGACTTTAAAGTGGCTATTATAAATACGCTCACTGAAATAAAGGAAAATATGCTCATAACAAATAAAAAGAAGAATTCTTAGAAGAAAAATAGAAACTATTTTTAAAAAGAACCAAATAAAAAATTTTAACTGGAAAAAATATCAACATCTGAAATTAAATAATTCCATGGGTGGGCTTATTTGAATACAGATAACAGAGAAAAGAGACAATAAACTTAAAGATAGGTCACTAGAAATTACTTAGTCTGAAGAAGAGACAGAAAACAGTTGGGAAAAAACCAATCAAGTGGGGAAAACACATGCGACATATATGGTAGACAGAAGTTTACTACAATAAATATTATAAAGGGCTTATAAATCAATAAGAAAATACACAAAATAATAGCCAATGAGCAGGCAATTTTCAAAAGAAATATCACTGATCACTGAATACGTGGAATAGTTTTAACTTCACTGCCATTAAAAGAAAATTAAAATGACAAAGAGATACCATTATACCCATTAGACTAACAAAAATGAAAGCATTGGGTGATACGTGTTTGTTCTGTGGGAAAAGCAGCACAGTCATTCACTGCTGGTGGAAGTTTAAATTGGTATGACATTTGCAGAGGGCAAGCTGGAAATGAGTATGAAAAACATTTAAAACTCTGTAGATGCAATGAGCCAGTAATTCCACTTCTAAGGATTTCTCCTATTAAAAGTCTCATGAGTGCACATAGATGTACATGGAGAGATGTTCACTGAAGCATTGTTGGTAATAGCAAAAATAATGGAGGAAAAGTTCATCAAGAACAGAATGGTCAGATAAATTGTGGGCACAGCCATGCAACCGAATGTTGCAGCGTTGTCCAAAAGAGTGAGCAAAGTCAATCTAGCACTTACAGGGAAAGGTGTCTAAAATAGGTATAAGTTTATAAAAGTATATACAAATATGATGAACCTATTTGGATTTAGAAAATTGTACATTAAAAAATCAGCAGAAGTTAGTCCCCAATAATTTTGCTATCTTAGTTAACCACATTTTAGATTACAGTTTGGTGTATACAGTGTGTATATGAACAGATATTGGTGCACATTAAGCTGAGTTTTCCATTATTTATTTTTGTAATGTTTTCAGTTTCTATAATGAGAATTATTTATTACTTCTATAACTACAAAATAAGTGAATATTTAAAATGTATATGTTACATAAATACTAATGGCTAGTACAGTACATGTCAACATAGAAAGTTATTAAGTATTCTAATAGCCCTATATATATTAACTCATTTAATCTTCACAATGCTCTTAGGAGACAGGAATAATTATTACCCCTATTTGACAGTTCTGAAGACTCGGGCACAGGGTAGTTAAGTGACTTGCTGAAGGTCTCTCCCCCCCCCATCCCACCCTTTCCTCTCTACAATCAATGAAAGTATCCTTGGGTGAGGATTAAAATAATAATAATAATAATAAAAATTATAAAAACTGTGAAGTGTTGGACTTCCAACTGTAGGAAAAAGTAGGAAGTATCTATCATATGCTTTGTCTTGTACCATGCGGTGTAGACTGTGTAATCTCAGTTCCATACTCAACACATAGAGAAAAGATTGGATAGAAAATGATCAAATCTTTAAAGTATGTTAAAAATCAGATTGCAGAGGATTTGTATATTCTGAAATTTCCTATATTTGTGAAAAAAAGTCATCATAAAAAATGATCTCTAGGAAGACCCACAAAATGCCATTTTGAATGGTCCTTTAAGATCAGTTAGGATTCACCCAGGAGAAAGGAGTGGGGGAAGAGGGTCCTGGACCAAAGGAGGAGGCAGGAGAGGGGTGAGAAAGCAGAAACAGCACCGAGTTTCATGTTCATTTTTTTTCCTGGCGGAGAACCCTAGGGGAAGGGCGGGTTGGTTAAAAAATTGGTAAGTAGCAGTTTTAATACTTATTTGCAAGGTGGGAATTTGAGACAGAGCAGATAACAAACACATCCTGGTTCCTCCCTCGTTCAGAAGCCAAGACTTTACTCCACTTCTTTGGGATGTATGTGCCTTTCAAAGGCCCGAGGGCACCAACCATGGAAATTTTGGTTTGTTTCTGTGCGTGCCATACTCCCAGACTTGGCCTCTGTTCCTGTCTTGAGGGGTTTTAGTAGCAGGAGCTCAGGACAAGGACAGGTGGCAGGAGTCAGAACTACCCAAGGCACTTATGAAAAGATGCATTCCTGCCTCTCCTCTCTCCCTCCACCCAAGGCAATTCAAGTGAAATCTTGGGAGTTTATAAACCAGTGCCCTTAGAGACAGCAACTCAGTTGTACTTATCTTTGAATTTATGGGCTTGGGAGACCAGGTCTAGGAAGTGACCTCACACCCCTACCTTTCCCACTGGTAAGCACCTATTCATCCTTCCAAATGCAGTTGAGATTCCACCTCCTCCAAAAACTCTGTTCCAGACCTGCCTAGAGAGTGCCAACCATACCTCTGTGCTGTCTCTGAATCTTGCACATAATTCAGTTATTTGACTTCTTTTACTCCAAAACTGCCAACCTTCTCATGCAGCTGTGACTTTTCCAGTGTGGTTCCTGCATCTCACTGCCCTTGGTGCCCGGTGCCCTGTGCGGGGTCTGGCACACAGGGCATACTTAATCATGTTCCCTGAATTGAATGACTTTGGGGCTGGGGCCGCTCTTGGAGCCTTGGTTTCCTTGCCACAGATCTGAGCAAGGTGCTCTGGGAACGTTGGGGGCTTGTTCAATGTTGGTGGAAACTAGTGGCCGTGGAGAGGTTGCACTAGCAGCCAGGGGCTTGGGCTGAGGGGCGGGGTGCCAGCTTTTCTCCAGAACTGGCCAACTCTACCTCCCCATTGACAGGGCAGGGCTATCCTGGTGCCTTCCACCTTAGAGCTCTATAAAGTCCACAGACAGAGGAATCAAGTCAAATAAATTAAGAAAACAAGTCCAAAATGTCAAGATAAAGATAAGCTTGTCCAGACTGTTCCTGGTCACTTGGTTTCAGAGCAGGCCCCAGAGACTCCTGTACAGTGGTCCAGAAGGGAACTGTACAAAAGAAGCAGCCCAAACATAACTTCCTACAAAACATCTGTACTCATCTGGCCTAGAAAAGTGAGTATTCCAGAACCTGGTGCCTCTTAAGCCAAACCATTCTTATGAACAGAATGGCTTCAAAGAATATGACTTAAAGAAGGATCTGAAAGAAATTGCTGCGGTCCCCTGACCCAGCCCTTCATTTTGCAGATGGGAAATGAAGGCACAGAAAAGTTAAGGAACTTATGTGGAGTCATACACTTATTTAGAGTGCCTACATGTCTCCAGCTGCTTACCCTTACTTCTCTCCAGGTCTGTGTTCTCGTTTATGAAATGAGAAGTCCTCTCTCTAAGGTCCCTTTCAGTCCTAATATCCTTTGACTTGGGAGAGTCCTGTTGAAAGAAACCTGTGCTCCACTCCTGGCTTTGGCGCTACTTCACAGTTTGGGCAAGTCATTTCTCTACCGAGCTCTGGAGACAGGGTTTAGTCTTACAGAGAAGCGGCATTTGCTGCCCAAGTGTAACCAGAGAACCCAGCTTCTCCATCTGAACAGGTTGGACAGACCCAACCTAACCGGAGCCCCAGCTGGTGCCCATCAACCCTTCTGAAAAAATTTCAAGATAAGATGTCAGATTTCTCAAACATCTGCCAGGAGTAATAATAAAAATATTGTCTGGAAAAAAAAGAGAAAAGAAAAAGAGAAAAATATTGTCTGGCGTCTCTCTGCCACTCCAGAGTTTACAAAGCCAGCTGGGTTCAAAGTCCAGCCTCACTATTTTCTAGTTACATGTCCTTGGGTAAATGAGTTTTCTCAAGTATAAAATGGGGATGATCATTATAGTACCCACCTCATCAATTTTGAAGAGTAAATGTAAGCACTTAGGAAAGTACCCGGCACACAATTGCTTAATGCATTATTACTTATTGTGGTTATTATTATTAATTATTTTCTGATGCATAATCTCATTTGATTCATACATTCGAATACTTTAGGAAAATCTGGAGAAGTTTCTAAAAGCTTTCAACATTTGCAACATACAAAGACTCGGATCAAAGTTTTCCTCTCCAAACCTAAACTCTCCTTATAACAATAGGTTAGTAATTTCACTCCAGGCAGAAAATGACTGTGGTTTAATGCCCCCACCCTGAGTGGGATCCATGTAGAGGGAAGAGGAGAGCTCCCTTGGGAGGGGCAGCCCTCATACAAAAAAATGGGGTGAGCTGAAGTGGCAGAGAATCAAAAGATGAAAGCTGGTACAAACTTTAAGTGAACATCTAGTTCTAGGCCAACCAAGTTCACTGACGGAGAAACTTGAGACCAGAGAGATGAAGTGGCTTACGTAAGTGCTAGAGCAGGATGGTGGTGGGGTGGAAACTAGGGCTCAGGACGCCCTGTCCTCAGACCCTCTGGTGCTGATTCCCCACACATAGCCAATGGGGAAAGGGGAGGGAGGAACATCAGCATCCACCGCTTTCTGAGGAGGCTTCAGAAAAAGCTGGTAGGTCTTGGGAAGGTGAGGGTTGGTGAGACTCTCAGCAAAAGTCAGAGATTTTGAGACCTACACCCTCCAATGAGGCAAAAAAGAAAGAGAGAGAGAGAGAGAGAGAGAGAGAGAGAGAGAGAGAGAGAAGAAGAAGAAGAAGAAGAAGAAGAAGAAGAAGAAGAAGAAGAAGAAGAAAAGAAGGAAGAAAAAGAAAGGAAGGAAAAGAAGAGAAAGAAAGAAAAAGAAAGAGAGAGAAAGAAAGAAAAAGAAAGAGAGAGAAAGAAAGAAAAAGAAAGAGAGAAAGAAAGAAAGAAAGAAAGAAAGAAAGAAAAAGAAAGAAAGAAAGAAAGAACTAAAGAAAGAAAGAACTTAAGAAAGAAAGGAGACAGTAGCAGAAACACCCTGGAATGTCTCCATGGGACCATACTTCCCCATGGTGATTACATTTGGAATGAATTATGAAGCCAACGTGAGGTGGCAGCATGAAACAGTAATCAAAAGATCTGGGTTCTAATTCCAAGTTCAGTTTAGAAGCCCCACCTTCCTGCTCCCAAGAAGCCTTTTTTGGTGGCTCCCTCCCTGAGTTGTCACACTGTCTGAGTCACTCACCTGGTGCTTCACACACCATCCTGAGTCATTAATCAGCCTCTACTAATGGCTTCGCCATGCCCTGGTCGCCAACAGCACCAGAAATGCTTTCAGGAGAGGGAATGAGTCTTTAGCTTTCTGATCTCTGCAGTTCCTCGTGTGCAGGATAATTGTGGCAGGATTATGCCAAAAGGGACCCCCTATCCTGCCACCAAATCAGTCACCTTGTTGGACCAATCATTTCGTTTAGTGAAGGAAACCAAGGCCAGGAATGGCGTTGCCCCAAGAAGCAGAACAGGTTGCAGTGGGATTTTGGACAAAACAACAAAAGGAAAAAACCAAGGAGTAGCAAAGATATCCATCTAAGAGAAGCTGGGAAACAAAACCTTGCCATAAGCAGCATTGCCTTTGGGGAGAAGGCTGTATGTGCAGATCCAGAAGAACACCCCAACTAAGCTTTGAACCTGTGGGACCTTGGAGGAACCACATGAACCTTACTCTCCTTTGGAGTGGCTTATATTATGCACTTCCGTTGCTGGCACAGGGTTGTTGTTTGTTTTAACAGCTTTTCTCATTAGTTTTTATTTTCCTTTGACTATCCCATTAGGTACGCTAAGCACGCTTCAGAAAATTTGGACATACTTATTCTGGGATGTTATATTTATTATAACAAGTAATAAAGGATATTTTGTATAGACTAACTTAAAGTTGAACATCTGGAAATAAGATGGCACCTGCTATCAGGTTACCCTCCATATCTGTGCATGTGACTGTGTGTGTGTGTTTCTTTTGAAATGGATTAAAACAATGGATAACTGACATATGTGTATATTTTCTATATAGACACATAGACATTTATGTGAATAAACAAATAATTATTTTTAGTTGCCATCTGGTAATTGGCATGTGGTATAACCTTCAATAGCTGAAATAATATATATTTTATATATATATATATATACTGCTTTGTGAAGCTATAAATACATGCATATGTGTTTTATGCAACTTCTAGTTCACTTGTATTATACATGACATATGTAGGTGTATGCAGATACATGTGCATATGGTCTATTTATGGTTAGAAATATATATGCCCATATGCATATAAAGCTTCTTATTTTCAGTTGGAATCCAGAATAAATTAACTTTTTATTCTATCATCCAAGGTACATAAAAAGTATATAAGCGTAAGAGAAAATGGGTAGCCTTTTTTTTTTAAAGAAAGTCCATAAGTTATATGGATTACTTGAAATGAGATAAATTTAATACTGGAAAATCAATAGCGTCAATGTTTATCTTCTTAAGTTGCAGCATAGAGTCTAATGGACCCTGTAAATTAGGGCAGTTTCGCAGAACCCATGAGCCCATGAGCCCATGGGGTATGAATTGGTATTGACCCGTTCACCCAGCTGCGAGATAGAGCAACCCATCAGAGTCTGCAGAACCCTGAGAGGAGTTGTTTTGGGTTTTGCTAGTTGTATGATGAGCACTGTTGGCATTTTTATTTTAAACTACATGATGGCATGTTACTTGCCTCCCAACTCCTGTTTGGAGCCAGGTCCCAGGGGCCGGGGAGAGCAAGACGCTGCCCAGATTTGGCGCTCAGAGAAGGTTAGACACTCACCATACACTATCACTGCCTTTGTCCAGGGGATTTCCCATGGGGTCGTAGTACACATCCACGCTGAGGTTTCTGTCTGTGTCGTGAGCTGAGTTGAAGTTCGTGATCACGCGGGAAGGAATCCCAAAACACCGCAGCACTGTAAGTCAAGGGCCAGTCTGAGGCTTCATGTGGCAGTGGGGACAACACCCTGGAGCACCCCACTGCTGCCCACTGACCCAGCAGAGACACGTCACACCCAGAGTACCTGTGTTGAGGGTCCCAGCAAAGACCCAGCACTGGCCATATCGGACTGGCCTGAAGCCAGATTTCTTCCACTCCTTGAGGATCTCGACACTGCCGTTCCAGTTCCTGGGATCCCGGCCACCTACGTAGTTGCCACTCCAGTTCCCAGCTATCACACCATTGTCATCATTGCTATTGACCTGGGCAGACAAAAAAAAACAACAACAAACAAAACCTCAAATGAATCAGCGGAGAGTGACAAGCAGAGTTGAGGGGACAAGGTGGGGAGATGAGGAAGGACGGAAGGAAATCAAATGGAAATCAAGTCTTTCTAGGAGACTTGGGAATGGTAATTGTAATAATGTTCCCTTAGGGGTATTGAGTAGTTTATGAATTTAAAAGTGCTTTGCTTAATGGGTCATGTTCAATTGCCCCTAACCCATGTATCAATCGCGTGCAGCGGGGCACACATGGAAACGAAGGCTCCATGGCTTATCAGTGGCAAAGTGAGGTCAGAGATCCAGCTTGCAGAGGATTTCTGTTAAATTTTTTTCAGTCCTCACTCAAGGATATGTTTATTGATCTGAGAGAGAGAGAGAGAGAGAGAGAGAGAGAGAGAGAGAGATCATTGTTAGTGGTAAACACTGATCAGTTTCTGTACCCACCCTGACTGGGAATCCAACTTGCAGCCTGGGTATGTGCCCTGACCAGAAATCAAACCCGCAACCTTTTGGTGCATGAAACGATGCTCCAACCAAATGAGCTGCCCTGCAGAGGATTTCTCCACACAACTGATGGGCTATCGCACAGGCTATTGCTGATGTCTGACTTGGGGGTCCAACGTTTAAAACTCTCTTTTAGTGTACCGGTCTTCTAAATGATCACTTTAGAATTTTAGCAACTAACTACTTCTTGGAAAAAATAAAGAATATTGCTATTCATTCATTCATTCATTCATTCATTCAATTTAAGGCATGATCCTCATACAAGTAACACAACCATGATGCAGTGTGAAAAGAGCATAGAGCTAGGAATGGAGAGACCTGAGTTCCATTGCCTTTTAGAGATACATATTGAAATATTTTTTAATGAAATGATGTAACATCTGGGGTTTATCAAATAATCTGTGGACAGGGGAGGGGGTGGTCAGAGATGAAACAAGACTGGTCTGGAATGGGTAATTGCCGAAGTTGGTGATGAGTATGTAGGAGTTCATTTTACTTTCCCCTCTACTTTCGTGGAAGTCTGAACTTTTCCATAATACAAAGTTAAAAGAGAAAATGAAAGAGAAACCGGAATAACAAGCCCAGCCTTGGCACCGTCAGCTCATCAGCTTGGCACCATCACCATCATCAGTGATTGTGGGCAAGTTCATTCACCATTCTGAGCCTTAGCTCTTCACCTTCCAATATAGAGAAAGTTAGAAACAAGTGAGCTCTCAGGTGGCTCCAGCAGCCAAGTTTTCAGTTTACGACACCCGCACCAGCATTTACCCAAACCCTAAGGCGAGAGGCCAGACCAGGATCTGTCAGCCTGTGAGCCCTGCTCCCTCTTTTTGTGCCCACAAGTGGCAAGGCCTAAGCAAACAGTCTGGGAACAGAAGGATCCTTGCCTGGGACAGGCCCACCCAAGTCTTCTGTGGCGCCTCCGTGTGGCGGGGGAGCTCCGCATCCCACTCCAGGAGGGCCCGGACAGTGATCACAGGATCAGGCCAGATGGGGCCTCCTCCCAGGTGGAAGATTGTGTAGCCCAGCCACCAAAGTGGTAATCAGCAGGGTCATCTCTGGCTGAAAGCTGAGCATTTCAAAGCCCCACACAGGCCATAATTAGCTCCGGGCCCAGCCCAACCAGAAGGCCTGGAGAGAGCAGCAGGGAGTTGTAGCTGAGGAAATTGGCACTGAGAAAATTGGTTTGTCCCAAGGGTGAGAGTGAGTCAGCAGCTGCTGGAGCCTGCTGGCCTCTCCCACCCTCTTCTGGGCCAACGATGCTCAGCTTCATAAGTCACCCTGAAGGCCAGCTTCCCTTAACCTTGGCTTCGGCTTTAAACCCATCCTTCTTGGGCCACTTGGTTTTCAAGGTTCAGCCCAGATCCCACTTTCTCTCTGTACCTTTCCCCAGCCGCCCTGGTTCCCCCACATCTCAGTGCCTCCATGTTCCCTGGGCCTCCTCACTCCTTTCCTGCACGATTTGGTTTAAGCCCTCTTTGATTACGCCCAGATATTTATCATCCAGTTAGAAGATCATTCAAATTCTTAACCATGTAATTAGCTTGTTAGCTTGGATATTCTCCAACTCAAAAGTAAAGAGACTGGGACATGCCTAGTCCATTAACAAAGCAGTTAAAGACACCTCTGGGGTAATTATTTGGTTTCAGAGGATTAAAGATCAAGAACTCTCTGACTTTTGGCTTTTTCATGTGTAGCTCTTGAGCAGGTTGTTCCCATATTTGGATGCTTTCCGATGGAGGTGTTCTCCATATAGAGTGCACCAGTGGGAGATTCCTCCAGGATCCAGCGTGTGCGCATGTGTGTGTGTGTACATGCGTGTGTATGTTTGGGGAAGGGGGACAGTGTCTCAAGTAGGGAAACTGGATGAGTGAAAAGGCCCTGGGTGGGCAGTTCAAGGCCTTGTTCTGGTTTGACTCACACATGAGCTGTGTGCTGTGAGTGAGGCATTTCAGCTTCTGGGCCTTCAGTTTCCCCATAGAGATGATGAGTGGGTTGACCTTCTTTCTTTCTAGTCTGACATTCAAGCACTTTTTCATGGAGGGAATGGATCGCCACAAAGAATTTTAGTGCCTGAGGCTCACTCAGGACTTTACCTCCTTTCCAGGAAGGCCCAGGATGGGGCAACGTCTCAGTTTTGCATCCTCCCAGCCCTGATGGACACTAAAAGGCCAAGCCCTCTTGTCATCTGAGAAAGGCCTCATGATACAGTGTAAAGGGTTTTGGAATCAGGCAGACCTGGCTCCACTTCAGCTTCTGCCACTCACTCACCGTGCCATCAGGCAAGTCCTTTAACTTAGAAGAGCCTCACACTCCACGTGTGCAAAATGGGGATGCTAACAGCCACCAGCTGCCTTTTGTGAGATGACGTGGAAGAGTGCCAGTGCCTAACCCACAGTTGGGTTTGCCATATGGTAACAACTAATTGTTATGGTCCTCTTACCACTCACCATTGCACTCAGCACCCGGCCAACATATTTGGGGTCGCCTCTGCGGGCCACGTCAGTAACAGGATCACGGCGGAAATTCAGACTCTTATCCAGGATTGAGAGGCAAATGTTCAGAATGTCATCTTCAAACTGTTCGAAATGGAACCATATATTATAAAGAAATAAATGACAAGAAGTGTTGGCTAATTAAGGGTACGGGGGCTACGGTGCTGAGAACCGCAACAACTGCCCAGGTGATTTCACTCTGTGGCCTCCAGAACTGAGAGCTACTGAGGAACAGCCACCTCACCCAGCCTCTAGTCCTGCAAGCTTGTCCACAGCTCTTACGACACATGAGGCCTTGTGCTGAGGCCCCTAAATGGATAGGGATCTCTCAGTGTCATGAACTTAGGCAAATCACTTAGCCTGTCTGGGCCCCAATTGTTCCATCTGCATAGCAGAGGATTGGCCCAAGTTCATCTTAAAGTTTCCATTTAACTCTGACTGTGATCTTCAGCATATTATTTATACTCTTGAGGAAGTAATAATAAAGATAAAATATCTTGCTGAACAAGATATTTGGAGGTACTTTCACAAAATAAGACTTACTTTTAGCCACTGTTTCTCAAATGGAGAAGATTAAGCTCTCTCTTGCTTTAGGGTCTTTGCAAGTGTTATTCCTTCTGCCCTCGGTGCTCTTCCCCAAGATATCTACCTGGTTCCCTTGCTTCCTTCAGGTTTTTGATCAAAAGTTCCTTCCTGAGAAAGGATTGCCCAGGCCATGCCATCAAAAGTAGCGCCTTTTCCACCCCGGATGCCTTCTGTGTCCTAACCTATTTTTTCCCCTTCCAGTGAAATTTGACACAAAACTGCAACATAGGAAATGTATCACAGACTAGAATGGGGTCTGGAGGTAGGCAGAACATGCACCTGCCCACCTACATATCTAAGGTATAACACCCAAGTTACCCCAACCTAAGACCATCGTTTGCTAGAATAGAAATGGTGGAGGAAATCCCTAACATTTTCTAGGTTGAGCAAACCTGGAAACTCTGTGGTCTTGGATAGGGACCACAGTAATGAAAGAACTTTGGAAGGTTAAATGTGCACAGCAAGGAAATTTGATCACATCCTTACGTGGAATGAATGAACAGAAACTACCTTTTTGCCCAAGTGTCTCTACTGGGTCTTATCCTCATTTGTGTACTGTGGCACCAATATCACTTCATTGCACCAGTTTAGTTATATGTCTGTTTTGTCCACTAGACTGCAACTCTCTCAAAGACAAGAAATCTATTTATTAATCTCCTGTATTCTCACTGTGCAGCCAGGGTCTGGCACACAGTAGGTCATCAATAAATGTCTTCTGAATGAATGAATAAATAAACAGAAGGGCAGGCAACTAGACAGATTTGGGAACTTCCAGTTGCCTGTGAGGCCAGCTGCTGAGCTTCTTGGGCAATAGGGACATTAACCCCAGGCTCCCTATGGCCCTTTTACCTGTCCAAAGTTCCAGCCAACCATGTTAATGCGATTTGAGCTTCCCACATAGATGGCTCCAGCATCTTCCAGAACATACTCTTCTCTCTCAGCCTGGTTACTCATAAAGACAGTATCCGCTGTTTAACATAAAAATCAGATATCAGGGATTAGAACCCTACAGAGGACTAGAGAGATCAGCCCTCCTCCCACTCCTGAGTACTGGCCTGGGGGCTGGAGCAGGTCGTACCTGCAGCCTTCCCCCCAGTTTCCACTGAGGAAGGGAGCCTTGGGCTATAATGCTTCCAACTCATATTGTGGGAACTGTGAGTTTGAGAGAGAAGCTGGGAGGATCTGAGAGTGTGAAAATGAGACCCCCAGGAATGAAACACTTGCTTCTTTAGGGAAAAAAGCTATCTCGGTGCCACAGATTTGCACTGCAGTCATTGTCCCTTGTGATTACACCATACCATGCAGTTTGTAAAAGATCTGAGATTCCTGCAATAACCCCAGAAGAAATCACAGGATGCCCATTGAATGGTGATGAATTTGAAATTCACAAAGGTAGAGGGACTGCCCAGACTAGCATAGCTGGTTAAGTGGCAGAGCTGGGACTCAAATCTGACTTCTAGCTTCCATGCTTTTTCAATATCAAAAAAAACTTTTCCTAATCGAACCTGAGCCCATGAAAACCCCCTGCCTCATCTCCTTCCCATAGGCATTGCTTAGCTTGTGGCTGGGAGTGTGGGTGGTTAGGCTCCTACCTTGCAACCAGGGGTTGAAGAGCAGTTTAAACACCCCAAGCTTTAGGGTAGCATTACTGCCACCGGAAGAGATCTGCATGCTCAACGCGTACCATCCTATGGGTGCGTTGGCAGGACTGGAGATGGAGATGGTCAGAGTACTGTCTCTCTGAAGCACAAGCTGTGCATTCCAGCTATCACTTCTTGGCGCATTGGAGAGTGGAAACACAGCTTTCGTTCTGGCCGACTCTGAGGGGGAGGGCCCTGAAAAAAAAGACGAGGTCAGTGGAAACCAAGGCTGGACTGTGGGGAGAGAACAGATTCCAATACAACCACAGGGGCCCTTTGAGGGACGTCATCCAAGGAAGCACCACGTTATGGCACTGGGACTACTGGGGAGACCATGTGGGCCAAATTCCTCTTGATTTGAAGGTTAGGATTCTTGGGTTCAGAGACAGGAGGAAACTTGCCCAAGGTCACACAAAGTCAATGGCAGAGCTGGGCTAGAGCCCAGAGCCCAGTGGCCCCAGTGTCACCATCACCACCCCCTGGATGCAGAGCCACTGGGGTTACTCAGGTGTGGGTGTGTGTGGAGGGGTGGGGGTAGCAATGAGTAGGTACCTGTGGAGGTTATGAACGCCAGACTTTCTTCATAACTAAGAGGTCGGTTCAAGGTCAGTGAAAAAGAGAACGGTTGACCTCTCCTCAAGACGAGCTCCTGGCTGTAGTACTTGTCTGTGTGGTGCTCCTGCTGGTTGGCAGCCGTCTGCCAGTTGATATTCTGGAGTTTTATATCTGTGAGAAAGAAAAGAGAGGACCTTAGTTCCTTGGAGGCAAGGAATAGTGGCATGGGGGAAAGGTGTCAGTTACCAAAGGGATAGCTCTTAAGCAGGGCTAGTCAGGGCAAAGCCAAACTTCTAGGAAAAATCACATTGAAATCCAAAGACCTTGACTCAGCATGGCGAGAACTTCGCAGCTTATTCCCCATGTGCCCTTTCAGGCAGCTGAACCTCTGCGTCCACTATTCACATTGCTGCCACTCAGCTGCCATTCTCACTGCTTCCCCCTCTGCCTGGTCAGCTGTCACTCAGCCCTCATGGAGCAGGCCATGTGCTCAGTGTAGCCTCCCCCAACCAGCCAGGGGAACTGTGTAACCAGAGCACCCACATTCTGTCCGCTTTTAACACCATTCCTTGGTGGGTGGGGGCTCAAGTAGAATTGGAAGGAGGCTACTTTTCCCAAATCCACCACCCCAGTTGACTTTGCATCTCCCCAGACACTAAGTGCCATCTACCACTCCAACATCCAGCAAATGTTTCCTTGTGTATTCTGTACTTTCTAAGTGCAACAGCTTGGCCTGGGCCTCTGAGCCTGGGGAGGGCGGCATGACTCTGGGCAGCAATTGCAGGCCTAGAGATTGGACTTCCAAATAGTCACTGGCAAAAGCAGTATAAAGGAGCAGGTCAAAGGCCTAGGAGATCTCCGGAGACCACCTGAAAGGCAAACACCACGAAATTCACTGCCTACCCCCACTTCTTCTCATGTGACTGTAGAGGTGTAGGAGCTGAGCTGAGAAGAGTTTATGAGATGTACCACGAGGTCTGAGGTGTTTACCCCATATAAACCTTTAAAGAGGTTGATTCCTCTGTGTTTTGTTCGAGACGTTTCATCATCCATGCCTCTGCACACCGGTCTGACTTCTGTCTTGGTCATCAGACCACAACTATGAGTGTTGGTGGCACATCCCAGCGCCAGGCACAACTTCTCTTTATAAATGTGTCTGTCTCTCTCTCTCAGGATGTGCCTTCTTGATTTTTGTATCCTGATGCTTAGCACATTGCTGATTACATTAGTATAACCAGATAAACAAATGAATGAAGGAATTAAATGAACAAGCAAACGAAAACTAATGTCATGCAATGACCATCATGGCTATGGCCCAAGATTTAGTCCATAAGAAAAGGTGAATATGGGGACATTCATTCAGTAAATATACAGAGAGAACCTATTATTTACAGACACTAGTTAGGCACAATGTTGGCAGTGTAAAAAGTATGAAAAGTAGTTTGAGCCCTCAAAGAGCTTCAGCAGTGGGTAAGACAAGCGCATAACGAATGATGGAAAAGGGTAAATCCAACCTCCCCAATGAAGTGTGTCTAGGAGATGCAGGCGGGGAAGAATCACTTTCAGTTGCAGGGACCAGAAAAAGCTTCATGAAAATCCTGAACCTTGAAGGAAGAGAGAATTTTGTCAGGTGCAATGGAGCAGCCTGAATTCCAGACAACAGAAAAGAGGCTAAGGCACAGGGGAGCAGGTGTGTTATTTGGCTAGAGTTAAGGCTCTGTCCGGAAGAGAAAGGTGAGGCAAAGAGAGTGTGGCTCCAGGGCAGGCCTAGCCCCCCGCAGCTTTGGACATGGGCAGAGAGAATCATCATAGATACTGTTTCAAGTGAAATCCAGCCAAAAAAAGCTACTGGAGAAGGGGGTTCAGGAAGTGATCTTGCCACCAGTTCAGGGTACTAAAGATTCATTTATTCACATATCCTCTCATTCATTCATTCATTCATTCAACAAATAGTTATAGAAAGGATTAATTAATCAGTTTTTGCACAAGCTCAGAGAAACTAAAATATTCACGCAATTGACAAGTATCTATTGAATGAAGGGAAGGGCAAAGGGAGGAACGAAGGGACAGAGTGAGGGAGGAGAGAAGATGAATGTTCCTGCACATGAATATTGAATGGAGGCAGCTCAGATCTTAGACCCTCTCTGACATTCCTGAGCTCTGCATGCTTGTAGTTGCTAGTTCTCTGGGGCAATGGCTCTGCCTTGCAAATTCCTGCCCCCTCCTCAACCTTGCTTGCTACCAGCTGTGCATCCCCGCCAGCTGAGATTTGTTAGGCCTCTATTCCTTGTCTTGTTTTAGAAAAAAGAAGAGCTTCCTAAGGAACGTGTGGGTTCAGATAACATAAACCCCCTAGAGATTCCTCCCCTACTCTCTAACACAAAAGCATGCGTGCCTTCTCCCGAGGCGAAGCTCACCACTCCAGACCACGAGCTCTTTGAGAGCAGAAAGAATGTCCCCTGACAGCCTCTGCTGAACACAGGGCTAAGGAAAGAGGGTGGGACACATCTACAGCTGGCATCCCCTTCAACAGGTCCACATCCTTCTTTGATCTGCCAAGGGTTAGGCATCCTATGTTGTAGCTGTGCCAGTAGCTGAGGCTTTACCCTTTCACCCCAGAGACAGTGGCTCATCAATAGGGAAAATGATAAAGAAGAGACTGAGCTCCTGGGTGCCTGGGCTGCAGAGACACTGAAAAGAGATGAAGGGCACTCTCTGCTAAGTCATCTCTGCTTCCGACATCACACGTGAGCCCTGGTACTAAGGAGCCTGGCTTTCCATTAGGGTGCTTGTGAGATATGCAAAGCTTCTCTGGGCTAGAGAGTGAGGAAAAACAGGACTCACATTTGCCATCAAGCTTTTGCATGTCAGCTGCTATTGACAGCATACAGAGGACTTTATATATCATCAATGGAATCCTTACAGAAACTAGAAACCGATGTGCAGAAAGATAAGCATCTTATTTGAGGTCAACACCTAGGGCTTGGCAGAGCCAGGGTTCTGAATCCAAGTCTTACTGACCCTCCCCTTTTGCTCTGGTCCCCAGTTCTCTGCCTGGAAGGGGGACCCATGCAGGACCTTCAGTCCAACAGGTACATAGAGGGTAAGGGTCCTTCACTATGCCTTGTCCTCCCCTCTGGCATTTGGGTCCTGATAGAGGAGAGAGTGAGCCTGTGGATGGGGAAAATGTGTTCCAATAGGGCATTCTGCATGGGAGGTGACCAGCAGGGGAACGGCCTACCTCTGTGTCCTGGAGTGGGACGGGCAGGGTGAGAGCATGCTCATAAAGCCTCCCCTGTGGTTTCTGAAACCCTCTCCTTCCACTCGCCGCTGCCCGTGGTCATCAGCACCCCTTAAACCCAAGGACTGGCTCTGCCAGCCCCCAAGTCAAGGATCTGATGATCTTGTCTGTGGATTACGTAAATTCCATAGTTTCCCCTACCTACCACGCTTTGGCGTAGCAGTAATCACAACCCCTTTTGCCAGAGTGTTTTCTGGAAGGGAAAGGGCATGGGTGGGGAGGTACACATCTAAGTTTACAACTTCGGGGGTATTTATTAGTCCCAGGGCTGTGTTCTGCACCAGCCAAGTGAAGGGAAGGAATAAAAGGAGGGCTGCATCGACCCTACAATTGACTCATTAGCATATACTCTTAAAAACATCAGAGGGAAAGAGTCCTTGGAGACAGGTCATATACTCCCACTCTTATCCACATATGAGGACATGGAGGCCTGGAAGGTGATTTGCCCTCAGAGGGATATCTCTGGACTCCCATTCCTGTACCCTCCTCCCAATTGTAGGCCACCTCCCTGAGCATACCAGTGCCACCAGCAGTCCTAATGTGGCAGGACGGTTCAATGTCTATGCCAATATTCACTTGCTCCTTCTTCCTTGGTAATACAATCCGCCATATTCATGGGCACTGCATTTCCCAGGCTCCCTTGAAGCTGGGGGTCACGTGAATGAGTTGTGATCAGTGACTTGTAGGAGGAAGTTAATGTGTTAACTTCCAGGCAATCTCTTTTAAATTTTTTTAAATGAGGTAAAATTCACAGAACATAATATTAATCATGTTCACCATTTTAAAGTGTACAATTCAGTGGGAATTAGTACATTCACAGTGTGGTGCAACCATCACCACTATCTAGTTTTAAAACTTTTTAATCATCCTCCAAAGAACCCCTCCATCCATTAGCAGTCACTCCCTTTTCCCCCTTAATTCCAGCCCCTGGCAAACCGCAATCTACTCTCTGTTCCCATGGATTTGCCTATTCTGGACAGTTCGTAGGAATGGACTCACAGAAATATGTGGTCTTTGGGTCTGGTTTCTTTCACTTAGCACAACAATTTTCAACTGGCATGCTGCGAGAGGTTTTAAACTATGCAATACCGGACTATTTAGTCAGGGGCACTGACCTCTTTTCCGTAGATTGGCAAATGAAAAAATGACAACAGCCAACATAATAATAGCCATCCAGTGTGAATGAATCAAAATTACACCGATTTGTTTTGTCGGATCGGCAAAAAATATATTGTTTGGTGTGCTGCAGAATTTCAGTAATTAGTTTATGTGTGCCATGCGATGAAGAAGGTTGAAAATCGTTGACTTAGCATAACGTTTTCCTCTTTAAAAAGTTTCTTATTTTTCAATTATAGTTGACATTCAATATTATTTTATATTAGTTTCAGGTGTATAGCATAGTGGTTAGACATTTATGTAATTTACGAAGTAATTTCCCTCGATAAATCTAGTATCCACCTGGCACCATTACAGTTCTTACAATATTCCTGACTATATTCCCCACGCTGTGCTTTACATCCCCGTGACTATTTTGTAATTGCCAATTTGTACTACTTACTCCCTTCACCTTTTCCACCCACCCCACCAAGCATAGCATTTTCGAGATTTATCCATGAGGTAGCATTTGTCAGCACCCCATTGAACAACGCGGGCATAAGGGGCCCTGGCCCCTGCACCGCCGAAAACTTTGGACTCCTCCAAAACTCAACTACTAATAGCCTCCTATTGCCTGGAAACTTTACTAAAATATGAAGTCAATTAATATGTATCTTATATGTCACATGTATTATATACCGCACTCTTGTAATAAAGCAAGCTAGAGAAACGAAAATGTTATTAAGAAAATCATAGGTAAGAGAAAATACATTTACTGAATTTATTATAAACAATCCACATATAAGTGGACCTGGCAGTTCAAAACTGTG